ACCCATCACCTAGCCACTCACCTTGTCCAATGAGAAGCAAGAGGAAAAGAGTATATGTATATAGAGGAGTCGAGGAAAAGGGGTCATCTCTTATTTTTAGCAATTTTTCTTGAGTTTTCATTTGTAAGGTTAGTCGTATAAGAGGAGTTTCACTGTAATTTTTTTTTTTTTGAAAGCTGCACCGAGTTTCGAGAAAGACTAGTTTTGAGTTATTTCAAAGCATTGTTTTAGTGTATTTTAACTTGTTACTTGAAGATCAATCGTTGTGTGAGCATTTACCTTTAATCTCATTGTATTTTTACATATGTTTTCCATATTGTTCAGTACCAATTTTGGAGTTATAAGTTCTATTTTTGGCTAAACTTTGGCAGAATCTGATGAAAGATTCTCATTCATAATCAAGCATGATGACTCTCTAATAGTTTTTCATCAATCAAATGTTTTGAAGTAAATAAAAATTCGATTTGAATCTTAGTTGTTAAGTGATGACTTTGATTTTTCATCGACGGTTAATCCGACACGATTAATGCTTATAACTCATTTATACAACATAAATGCTTGCCATGCTATTATATTTCTTATCTTCAAAGCTACAATAATGTACGATTTGGTTTTTGTTGAAAATCAACTGTTCAAGAGTGTTTGAATACAACTTCGAATGAGAAAAAGTAGAGAGTCGGAATGTTTGATTATGATCAGTTGATTCCTGAGGATTAGCTAATTGTTTTTATATTGATTACAATCCATACAAATTCTGTTGTATCACACTTTCATAAAACAAAGGGTATTTATTTTCATTTACACACAAATCACAAATCAAATTCCATTCATTCCCTAAGGAAATGATCTTGAATGTTTTGAGTTACTACACTGCATAATTTTCTTAAGCTTGGAAAGTACGTTGTTATATTTTAAGGAGTGAAAGGAGGATACAGACAAGCTGTTAGCACCAATGCCCAGTTCTTAGAAGAAGACTATGTGACATGTAAATCCCTGCTCCAATTCAACAATATTTCAAAACTCTAATTACACCAATAACGAATAAACTGAGTTTCCATTAAACATTAGAATTACTAAACCCCTTAAAAATGAATAAATAACCTCTTGATAACATTTTAAATTACATGTATGTGTGCACACGTAATAAATATGTAAATTCCCGCTCTTATTCAGCAATATTCATTTTGTAATAAATTTGATAGTTGGAAAGTGGTTCACATAAATTTATGCAAATTTTGAGTGTTGGAAGATATGCACTCTAACATGTGTGTGTGCACGCGCAAGTGCTCAACTAGCTAAATGAGTAGGCTAGGTTTCTTGGTAGCAATTTTATCTATAATTTTTGTTTATGTGTNTCATTTTGTAATAAATTTGATAGTTGGAAAGTGGTTCACATAAATTTATGCAAATTTTGAGTGTTGGAAGATATGCACTCTAACATGTGTGTGTGCACGCGCAAGTGCTCAACTAGCTAAATGAGTAGGCTAGGTTTCTTGGTAGCAGTTTTATCTATAATTTTAATTTATGTTTTTCACCTAAATTACATGCAGACTATATAATCTTAGCTGATGTAATTGTTGAGCAGCAGCCATTTAGAGAAATAGCATCTGTACATGTAGAGAAATATCATATGTACTGCGCATCTGTGTGGTTGTTTTTATGGAAGAACCTTGAATATTAATAGTCTAAAGAGGACCAAGAAATATTAATTGAGGGAGTTAATAGTTGTTATAGTGTCNTGTTTATGTGTTTCACCTAAATTACATGCAGACTATATAATCTTAGCTGATGTAATTGTTGAGCAGCAGCCATTTAGAGAAATAGCATCTGTACATGTAGAGAAATATCATCTGTACTGCGCATCTGTGTGGTTGTTTTTATGGAAGAAATATTAATTGAGGGAGTTAATAGTTGTTATAGTGCCTTGCATTTTTCAGCAAAATAAAAACTGTCACAACTTATAATTAATATATGTTTCTGTAATGTACTACCTATTGACGGAGTAAATGGGTAGATTTTTGGTTGTTTACCTTTTGAAGTTTAATGGTTGGTGACTTCTGTGGATTTTGTGAATTTGATTGGGTAATTTGTTAGATGCATTAAAACCGTTTTATGTTTTATGTTAGTGCACTGATTTATTGAATTGGGCAAAAAAATTTTCAAAAAAAAATAAAAATTTTGGCATTTATATAAGCGCTGACAAATGTGGTCCATGGTATTGTTGTTTACTAGTGTTTGACTAATAGTGTGCTATCGCAGGCAACCAAAAATAAAACATATACTCCTAAAAATACATGTAGTAGTGCGAGTAAGGATCGTACCCACGGAGAGTATCTAGCTTAGTTTTATGTCTCGTGAACAAGGATGGAAGGGTGTTTGAGGTTAACGAAAATAATTTTAAGAAAAGAAACTAAAGAACAATTCAAATTAAAGTATCGAAATCAATCAAGAGAACAAACCTTGGACTAAGTCAACATCCACCATCAGAATTTAATTTACAAATNTACCCACGGAGAGTATCTAGCTTAGTTTTATGTCTCGTGAACAAGGATGGAAGGGTGTTTGAGGTTAACGAAAATAATTTTAAGAAAAGAAACTAAAGAACAATTCAAATTAAAGTATCGAAATCAATCAAGAGAACAAACCTTGGACTAACTCAACATCCACCATCAGAATTTAATTTACTAATGATCATCGATGCAAGTATATATCAATTCACTATCTGAATATTCACCATTGGAACTATCTTCCTATCTTTCCTTAGTCACAATTAGTTAGAAAACAAGCGATCTAATTAACCTTAACTACTAAACAACCCAAGACAAGTACTAAAAGTTTAATCTAGTAGCATCATTAAGAATTAGAAAGATTGATGAAACTAAACAACACAAACACAAGCGGATGCATTTAATTTAGTCAAATGTTCTTTCTAAGATCTAATAATCTCTGATGCAGCAAATCAATTTTATTGATTCCGAGGCTTTCGTTTCCTAAGATCAAGTATTATAGTTTAGCCACACATGGCCTTCATGAAAACTAGAAGAAAGAGTTAGAGAAGAAGGGGTATAGCAGCCTCTATATTATGCTGATTTTTCTTTCTTTCTCTCTCCTTAAATAAATATAGAAAACATGTCACACTCCCAAAACGTGTACAACTCAAATCCCTACATTATAAGTATTCTTTATCAAAATAGATTGACAGAAATCGTGCTGAAACTTGTGATCTGTTTTTCTATCAGATAACGACTGAATCTTGATTTGGGCTCTTCATGAAAGTTGTAGACCTGAATGTGTAGATAAATTTAGGCTTTTTAATTACCTGATTTGGATTTCTTAAACTCAAGTTATGACCCACCAAAGTTTACTAGTTCGGAAAGGAATCCAACTCCAATCAAGATTCTGATCAGCTTTCCAGGCCTGACTTTGAAACAATGTTTGGAGGCCCAGATGAACTCGAATTTTTGCAAACCATACCTTTTTGAAAAGCTTAAGACATCCTCTAAAAACTTTATGAAGAATACTTTCTCAATCTGAAACTCTAATGCCATCCAAATCTCAATTGAATCTCCATAGATTGAACTGCCTAAAAGTTGGAAATTGCACAATAATACTCCATATCTATTCTTTTACCTTCAATACTTCCCTTGATGCAGTCAAATATCTCTCAAAACTCAAAACATGAAAGTTGTAGAGCTTTTCTTTGGAATTTTCATAGCATCTTGAATCATCTCAATCGGAGTACGGATGAGAGAGTTATGCCCAGATTATGAAGCAATGTCGAAACTCTCCACAATCGTCCAATTGACTTCGTTTTGCATTTAACGTCTCTATTTTTTNTGCAGTCAAATATCTCTCAAAACTCAAAACATGAAAGTTGTAGAGCTTTTCTTTGGCATTTTCATAGCATCTTGAATCATCTCAATCGGAGTACGGATGAGAGAGTTATGCCCAGATTATGAAGCAGTGTCAAAACTCTCCACAATCGTCCAATTGACTTCGTTTTGCATTTAACGTCTCTATTTTTTTCCTAAATCAAAATATAAGAATAATGAGTATATTTAGGCTCCAAATAAGTATAAAAGGCTAAATATTAAAAGAGAAAAATATGACATTTTGCATTCTCATCAACTAAACGCTGGAAATTGAATTTTCGGTCACTGGACTTCAGCTGGTATTTATTATTTGTAGGCTTAAAATTTTTGGTGTTTACCCAAACGCCAATAATTTTGCTGACAGCAGAATAGCTGAATTTTGGATGNAAAGGCTAAATATTAAAAGAGAAAAATATGACATTTTGCATTCTCATCAACTAAACCCTGGAAATTGAATTTTCGGTCACTGGACTTCAGCTGGTATTTGTTATTTGTAGGCTTAAAATTTTTGGTGTTTACCCAAACGCCAATAATTTTGCTGACAGCAGAATAGCTGAATTTTGGACGGAACGTTATAAAGGCTTATTGTGGCGTTTATTTGACAATTTCCAGCATTCTGGTTTTTTGCAAAATTCTGGTAGTGTTAGATGCAAAATAGGTACATTGTGGATGGGTAAAGTGAAATGTTCCCTTTTATATTGGAATGTCATACTACTTGTAGGTCGTTATAACTTAGTTTTTTAGATTGTATTTGACTACTAAAACCAGTGTTATCAGAATCGGACCGGTTCAATCGTAACCCGGGACCTTAACCAATCTGGTTCCCTAGTTGGACCGCATAATGAAGAGAACCGGTTAAAAACCAAAAAATTGGNTATCAGAATCGGACCGGTTCAATCGTAACCCGGGACCTTAACCAATCTGGTTCCCTAGTTGGACCGCATAATGAAGAGAACCGGTTAAAAACCAAAAAATTGGCTGATTTTTGTAAAAAATCGTGAACCGGACAGTTTGAAGACCATAAATGAAAAATTACTTAAATTAGAATCTTTTTTTTATTGGGGCCATCTTTTTGCACTAAATTGTAGAAGGCACTATGACAAAATAGCAACCCTTTCTCTCTTACAGACCTAAGGTGACCAGCGACTGCAAGGCACTCAGGCGACCAACGAGGAACTCAAGGGACAGCTCAGGCAACCATCAAGGCTACTGCCGTTGCTTAGTGCTCACTGCTCAGTTCTCAGGTGCACTCAGACGACACTCAGGTGATGAACAACAGCTAACAACATCGGTCTCTCTCTCTCCTAATCTCTGTTGTCATCTCTTCCCTTTACTTGCTTTTATCAAACTATAACATTAAGGTAAAACGGTTAAGACTACATCTTTTATTTTTTAATTTTTTTTTGGTAAATCAGATGACTCTTTAAAGCTTGCGGATAGTTATGATTGAATTTCAGTTTATTATAGTATGATGTGTGATGTTTGTTTCATTATTTGGTTTTTATTCTGCACATTATTGGGTGATTATTCTCAAGTGAGGAACGTAGTAATTTTTGGTCGCCTATGCCATAAATTGATACTATAAACATTAGTGAGAAGGTAGTGATTTTGAGCATCACAAAATAAATGTATTTTTTTAGGACTTGCTTAGTTCTATTGGGCAATTGAAATGCTCTATTATTGATGTTATTGTGATACTATTGTCTATTTGTGATCTATTAAGATTGTGAATTGATATTGTGGGATTGTGAATTGGGATTTTTTTTTGTCATTGTGGATTTGATGCTTTCAGTTTGTTTGCTCTAGCAAAATGTCATCTTTTGGGACACCAAATGAATCTACTCCAACCCCCAACTAGTTCTACAATTACACCAAACTCTTTCTCTACACAAGCTACAGTTATAGGAAAGAAAAACTGACCCTACATAGGGACATTGTCGGGAAGATGGCGTTCCTTCAAAAAAAGGGAGGAATTTGATTTGTTTGTATTACCAAAAGGTTATAAAGGATGGTGGTATCAACAGATTCAAACAACTNTCCTTCAAAAAAAGGGAGGAATTTGATTTGTTTGTATTACCAAAAGGTTATAAAGGATGGTGGTATCAACAGATTCAAACAACTTTTGGCGGGGATTAAAGGAGCAGTAGAACGATGTACTAGATGCCCTCCCGATGTGAGCCTTAAGATGAAATTGCTCCTAGAAAGTATTGGTAACAAGAAAAGAAAGACACAAGATGATTACGAGGAATTAAATCAATATGGACCAGGAGTACATGCAGAGCAGGAGTACATGCAAGAGAATGACGATGTTCAAGAACTTCCATCCTCTTTTAAGGGAAAGGGCATTTCCATTGGTGGAAGTTGAGGTAAAGCAACACCTAAAATGGATGGAGGAAGAAAGGGTCAAACAATTGGCTCTTTCTGTAAGACCCTGTACTAAAAAATTAAATAAGAATACTAATATCTTAAGAGTTTTCCAAATATGAATAAAATGAGGATAAAAACTTAGAATCATTGTTGAAATATTAATCATGAAGTTTGAGTTTCGAACGGATTGACTTTTGGGTCAAACTTAATTTTCTTTTTTTTGATGTGTTTAAGATTGATAAGGGTAACTAAATAAATATATTAATTTTTTTTATCAAAATAACATTACCATTGAATTCGGGAGGTCGGAAAACATTGGGAGAGGTAATATGGGATGTATTAGAAGTTAGGAAGTATTTTAGAAGTAAAACCAAATTGGAGTGAAATTGGGTAAAAATGGGTGATGGACACTTCTTAGTATTTTGATCATAACTTTATATTTTTATGTCCAATTGATCTGAAATGTTGACAGGAAATATTAGACATCTAGGGCTACAAAAGTGTATTTCATGAAAAATTTCCAATTCGACCTCTAAATGGGTCAAAACTGACCTGGAAGTCACACCAAAAATCTGTGAACGGTACGAAGGAAACCCGATTTTTCTGAACAGAAAATATCGGGTTTTGCTCGATTTTCTTGCCCTATAAAAACCTAATGTCGTCCCTTTAGCATTCATTTCACCCCTCCAAACCCTAGGAACCATTTTAGAGGAAGAGAGGAAGATAGAAATACCAATCAAGAGGGATTTATACCTTGTAGAAATCAAAACTTCAAATTCTTCAAAAATACATTCTCCTCCCATTTTCTTCCATTCTTGCTACCCTCTCACCCAAATCTTTTGAAACCCTAGGAGGAGAAGATTAAGAGGAAAAGAAAGGAGAGCAAGAAGGTCTTGAAGCTTGGGTCTTAGCTTGGAATCTTGATTTAAAGTAGGGGATTTTCTCTCAATCTCTCACATTGAGGCTAGATATATATATATAGATATATATATGTATATAGATATATGTTTCTTCACTCTCCTTCTCATATATATAATATGAAATACATGATTCTTGTTCTATTTGTAATAAATGCCATGTTTTGAACAATATGAAGGGTGGGTAACCACCAAAGCTCTATTGATTTTTTTTTTATCTTCAAAGCCCTAGTTTTCAAGAAAAGGGGATTTTCTCCTAATTTCTTCTTTGTCTTTGATTTTAAAAATTTAGTGTTGAATATTGTATAACAAAATGATATAGATTACGATCTCTTGCATATTTTCTTGGATTATTCGATTATATGACAAATGTGAAAACAAAATTGGGGATTTTACTATATTTGGGAAATTATTGTGAATTGTGAATATTCTTGATTTCCTCATTGTATGGTTGTTGTGATGGACTTGGATTACCTTCGAGAGATGTCGTAGAGTGTTAGAGGTTAGTCTATCCCAATGGGGGTGAGATGGTTGCCTAATGCTCGTAGTGGATCGTTGTTGTGCTCGCGATCACTATTGTTCACATATACACCGAGGAAAAGGGTTAGTATACTAGACACCTTGGGAGGATTTCGTCAATGCCGTAGGAGATGGTACACGCCCTTCCTAAAGAGATTTGTGATTGTTGGTTGGAATTGGTGGACTAGGCATGATCGTTAGGTAGATTCACGAGAAGCAATCAACATACATGGTACGGGGATGAACCAAAAATACATGGAATCGGGAGTTGGGTCGTTCTTGCCGATGCATTGGTATGGGACAATGCTTAGGGAGAAGCCCTTCTTAAATAGCTTAAATTATAATTTTGTTTATCGATGCTAAACTCACTTTATTCTTTTAATTGATTATTGTTATTGTTTAAACTTGAGATCTCTTTTAAAATGTCACTGTTTTCATTCCAAACCTATATATATGTTAGTTGTGAAATGAGACCGACCGTTTGCTATGTTTTTTAAACCTTGTTTGAGTTGAGAGGATTTTGCTACAGAGCTTCGTGCTCACCCCCTACAAATAAAAATTTTTCAGATTTCACACTTGAGGAGGAGTTAGGAGCCGAGGAGCCCACCCATTGGAAGACTCCGCTTGGCGGGGATGTGGATCCCGAGGTGGACGCTTAGAGCAACACTTTTATTTTGTTCTAGACTAGATTATGCTTAGAATATCCTTTTGAACTCTAGTTCATTTCTATTATTTTCGCTGCGTTATATTATTACATTTTGGAGATGTAAAGGCCAAGATTAGACCTATTAATTTGGGATGATAGTGTGGATATGACATATGATGAATGCAAGTTTATTTTATAATGAAAAAATGGACCCGGTGTGGTCAATTGTAATATAATTGTACAGGTTGTGTTTTGAGTAGAGCTCCCCGTACAAAGGAGACTCTGCCCAAATTTTGTTAAAATATGAATGGTTGATGAATGAAACTTTCGTCGTGATGAATTTTACTTAATGCTCTCATACGGTAAATGGTTTTTAGAATGTAATGTCACCCACGAGGGTTTTTGGGGCGTTACACTTTCTTTGTGCCAAGGACTACTCTAGGTGCTCAACCTACTATTAAAAGTGTGTTACAAAGTAAGAAGGCAAAAGAGAGGTGTGATCTTGTTGTTTCTAAATGGATTATTGATGCTTGCATTCCCTTTAATGCTGTGAATTCCAAGTATTATCAATCTATGCTTGACGTAGTAATAGGTTATGGTGGTGGTTATAAAGGCCCTAACTTTCATGATATTCGTGGTTATTTGTTGAACAAGAATGTCGAATAAGTCAAAAAATTTGTTCCTAGTTTTCAAACCACATGGAAGGAGATTGGTTGCACTATCATGGCTGATGGGTGGACAGATCAATGCAGGAGAACCCTCATTAATTTTTTGGCCTATTATCCTAGAGGAACAGTGTTTCTAAAGTCAGTTGATGCTTCTGATGCTCAAAGACAACTGATATGTTATCTAAATTATTTAAAAAGGTGGTGTTATTTGTTGGTGTAGAAAATGTGGTGCACATCGTAACTAAGAATGCTGCAAATTATGTTGCTGCTGGGAGGTTATTGGACCAAAAGTTTCCCACAATATCTTGGTCACCATGTGCAACTCATTGCTTGAACTTGATGTTGCAAGATATTAGAAAGTTGGATGAGGTAAATGATGTTGTGTTCCATGCTTCAAAGATCACAAAATACATATAAAATCATTGTTTTCCTTTGCATTTAATGAGAAAAGATACTGGTGGAAGGGAAATACTGAGACCTGCTCGTACACGATTTGCAACCAATTTTATTACATTGCAAAAGTATTTTGGCACAAAAGGATGCTTTACAAGCTATGGTTACGTCAAGAGAATGGACTGCGTCGACATACGCCCACGAAAGTAAGAGNTCCATGCTTCAAAGATCACAAAATACATATAAAATCATTGTTTTCCTTTGCATTTAATGAGAAAAGATACTAGTGGAAGGGAAATACTGAGACCTGCTCGTACACGATTTGCAACCAATTTTATTACATTGCAAAAGTATTTTGGCACAAAAGGATGCTTTACAAGCTATGGTTACGTCAAGAGAATGGACTGCGTCGACATACGCCCACGAAAGTAAGAGAAAAAATTTGTTGATAGTGTGTTAGATTGTAGGTTTTGGAAAGAATGTGCTATTATTGTCTAACTCACAGAGTCTCTTGTTCAAGTGTTGTGGATTGTTGATAGTGATGATAGGCCTTCAATGGGCTATTTGTACATGGCAATGCATACAGCTAGGGAGGAACTATTAATAAGATTTCAAAAAAGAAAAAAAAAAGAAAAGAAAAAGAAAAGAGTAGATGTTTACTTGAAAATCATTGATTCTCGCTAGGATAGACAGNACATACGCCCACGAAAGTAAGAGAAAAAATTTGTTGATAGTGTGTTGGATTGTAGGTTTTGGAAAGAATGTGTTATTATTGTCTAACTCACAAAGTCTCTTGTTCAAGTGTTGTGGATTGTTGATAGTGATGATAGGCCTTCAATGGGCTATTTGTACATGGCAATGCATACAGCTAGGGAGGAACTATTAATAAGATTTCAAAAAAGAAAAAAAAAAGAAAAGAAAAAGAAAAGAGTAGATGTTTACTTGAAAATCATTGATTCTCGCTAGGATAGACAGCTTGACAAATATCTGCATACCGCTGGTTATTAGTTGAATCCGAGTAACCAATATAATACTGTTGAAATGGAAAAGCATAGGCAGACTATCTTTGGGCTCTTGGATGTGATTGAGAGTTATGCTTATGGAAATCCCACTTTAAGAAGTAAGTTGACAAATGAGATGAAGTTGATCAGAAATGCATAGGGAGACTTTGGGCGGGTGACNCCTCTTGTATGTGATTGAGAGTTATGCTTATGGAAATCCCACTTTAAGAAGTAAGTTGACAAATGAGATGAAGTTGATCAGAAATGCATAGGGAGACTTTGGGCGGGTGACTGCTATTAGTGATCAACATACGATGCTTCCTAGTACTTAGAATCATTTGAATTTTGACTAATTTAATTTTGCTAGTGTGTTTAGTTTATTTTAAATGTTATAATTTGATTGTGATGCATCAAATGTAGATGAATGGTGGTTGTGTTATGGAAGTAGTGCTCCAAATTTACAAAAATTAGTCCTTCGCGTCTTAAGCCAAACATGCAGTTCTTCGGGTTTTGAACAGAATTGGAGTGCATTTGAACACATTCATGCAAAGAAAAGAAATAGGTTGGAGCATCAAAGGCTTAATGACCTTGTTTATGTTCATTACAACTGAAGATTACAACAACTGTATGAAATATATGTTAGCATCTTATTAAAAGACGAATGATTTTCATTATATTTCATTGATTGTATATTTCAAACATTTTCATCAAGTAAATGACTATATATAACAATTACTTGAGGGGTAGAAATTATGGATCTAGTTGACTTTGAAGATTTCACAAGTAATGCCTCATGGATTTTAGAGGATGAGCCTCAAAGTTTAACTATAGATGAAGTAGAAAGTTTTCGTCGGTNAGTAAATGACTATATATAACAATTACTTGAGGGGTAGAAATTATGGATCTTGTTGACTTTGAAGATTTCACAAGTAATGCCTCATGGATTTTAGAGGATGAGCCTCAAAGTTTAACTATAGATGAAGTAGAAAGTTTTCGTCGGTAATTAGCTGCACACAATATCCAACCAAACCTCAACACTGGTATGTTTCATTCTTCTTGTATTGTCTTTATCACTAAAAGTATATGCCTACAATCATTATTTGATACATCAATAAATAATGCCTCTTTTGGATATAATGTAGATGAAATTTTGAACTTTGAATTGGATGACGACGATGATGATTTTGAAAATTAAGAGGGTAATGGGAGTGGAGGTTTTGGGAATGCAATTACTGTTGAAAATATCAATTGTGTTGGAGTTGGAGAATTTGAGGAGTTGTACTTTTATTTTGCATGACCATTATGATGTTGTGTTTGAGATTTACAACTTATGTTTACTTATCATTTGGATGATGTGTTCTTATGTAAACGTTTAACTTTAGTAGAGATTGTGGTTTGGGGTTTGGACTTAGAGTGATTTTTTTGTTATGTACTTAGATTGGAGCTTTGAAGTTCAACTTTTATATTTGGCATAGGTGTTTCTTTTACGTCAATTTATTAATTTTATGACAAATTGTATACATTTTAGACATATTTATATTTTTTAGTTAAATTATTATGTTTTATAATTATTATATATATTTTTTTATTATATGACCAATCCAACCAGTTNTATACCTTTGTTATATTAAAATATTATAATATGACCTTTTAATTAATTTTCATTATTCATCCCGTTAACGTCAATAGAGTTAGTTTTGACCGAATAAGCAATAAAAGGTAACGAAAAAATCACATTATAACATTTTTAATAAAATGAGAGTACAATGTGAGAAATCTTATCTTAGAGAGTTCAAAATAAAAGAACTTAAATCTTCTGAGATTAAAAAAAAAAAAAAGGAAGAGATTTTTCCTTTTAAAATAAAGGAAGTTTGACTGTTAGAGCATTTCCAATAGACTCTTTATTATCACTCAACTCTCTATTTTAGAGAGTTAAACACTAAAAATTAAGTTTCAATTGGCTCTTTATTTAGACTCGTTAAAATAGAGAGTCTCATTTAACTCTATATTTGGAGAACTCCACTTGGTCTTTATTATTATTTTGATGAATGANTAAGAGGGTAATGGGAGTGGAGGTTTTGGGAATGCAATTACTGTTGAAAATATCAATTGTGTTGGAGTTGGAGAATTTGAGGAGTTGTACTTTTATTTTGCATGACCATTATGATGTTGTGTTTGAGATTTACAACTTATGTTTACTTATCATTTGGATGATGTGTTCTTATGTAAACGTTTAACTTTAGTAGAGATTGTGGTTTGGGGTTTGGACTTAGAGTGATTTTTTTGTTATGTACTTAGATTGGAGCTTTGAAGTTCAACTTTTATATTTGGCATAGGTGTTTCTTTTACGTCAATTTATTAATTTTATGACAAATTGTATACATTTTAGACATATTTATATTTTTTAGTTAAATTATTATGTTTTATAATTATTATATATATTTTTTTATTATATGACCAATCCAACCAGTTGACCTACTGATTGAACCAATGAACCATTGATCCAGTCCTCTAGCCTGTTCGATGACTGGTTCGGTTTTGATGACATTAATTTAAACTACTATAAAATTGACCACATTTTCCCAACAAGAACAAAAACCAAGACCAATCCATCCATTTCAATCCAACTTGCATCAAAACCTAAACACATCTGTGAATCATATAATTTTCCCTCTGTCTCTACAATGTTCGTCTCCTCCAACACATTGATGTTTCGCAAATGGGTGCTTTTCTTAGAATGGTGCAGCTAAGATCGAAAATATCAGGGGTTATGTGCAGGCTTTAAAATTATAGGGACATAATGTGTGAACATGACAAACTACATGGAAGTGACCAATAATTTGTTTATTTTTAAATTCTGATTTCGTTCGTTCCCAAAAAAAAAAATGCATATCAAGACAATGAAGTGAAGAACTGCTCTTCTTCTACTCTGTCAGGAGTAAACCCATCCACCCCCTGCCATTACCAAACCAAATAAATGCAGCTTTAAATAGAGTTACATAGTCACTCAGTTCTCTCTCTCTCTCTCTTAAAAGATGATTTAATATGAAGAGAAGAAAGAGAGTAAAGCAGCACAGATTGTACAGAAACTCTATTTCCCTACACTCAAAATGGAGAGAAAGACATTATACCCAACATCACATCTATACAATCTTGCAATACTTGCTATGCTCTCTTTGGGCTCTTTTCCTTCTTCTTCCAGCCTCTCCTTTGACTTTTATGCTGCTTCATGCCCATCTGCTGAAATGATGGTGAAAAATACAGTTAGAGCAGCTTCATCCTTGGACCCAACCCTCCCTGGAAAGCTTCTTCGCTTGCTTTTTCATGACTGCTTTATAGAGGTCAGTATCAGAATGTGTGTTTGTGTGAGAGAGACAGAGAGAGGAGAGAGAACGCAGAGAAATGACTTTTTCTTTCCAGTGTGGAAGATTTATCACATGACACAGTTCTGTCCAGTGTAGACTAAGTGCCGGTTAATTCAAAAATTACGGTCACAACAATATTATTAGATCACATCATCGTTAAATCATTTTATCAACAAATTAAATTATTTTTTTAAATTTAAATAAAATTACTCTTTTAGAATACTTCAAAAGTGGTCTTTTTAACTGTTGCTGCCAGCTTAAGAGAAAGTAAAAAGTGAAGCCCAAAGTAGCTAGTGTTGCAATGGAACTAGGGAAGAGACAAAATTGTTTTCCATTGTTTTAATTTGTTATGATGCCACATTTCTGCAGGGCTGTGATGCTTCAGTGTTGTTGCAAGGAAATGGAACAGAGAGAAGTGACCCAGCAAACAAATCTCTTGGAGGATTTTCAGTGATAGATTCTGCAAAAAGACTACTTGAAATCTTTTGCCCAGCAACTGTTTCTTGTGCTGATATCGTTGCTTTGGCTGCTAGAGATGCAGTTGAATTTGTAAACTTTACCTCTATGATTTGCTATGGTTAATTAATTTTACTCAAATTGATTATTTATTTACTAAAGAATAACCCCGAAACAGGCGGGTGGACCAGCGGTTCGGGTTCCGACCGGAAGGAGAGATGGAAAGGTTTCCGTAGCTGCAAATGTAAGGCCAAACATAGTGGACACAAGTTTTACATTGGAAGAAATGGTTAAGATCTTCGCCGCCAAGGGGCTGTCTTTGGATGACCTTGTTACCCTCTCAGGTGTGCAGTCTTTCATATTCGAGTTTGGGAATCAGTTTCTTTAAAATGGGCGGATTACACTTTGCACTAATTTTTATTTTGTATTCTCAAAAATTAAAATTTTCACATTATACCTTTGTTATATTAAAATATTATAATATGACCTTTTAATTAATTTTCATTGTTCATCCCGTTAACGTCAATAGAGTTAGTTTTGACCGAAGAAGCAATAAAAGGTAACGAAAAAATCACATTATAACATTTTTAATAAAATGAGAGTACAATGTGAGAAATCTTATCTTAGAGAGTTCAAAATAAAAGAACTTAAATCTTCTGAGATTAAAAAAAAAAAAAAGGAAGAGATTTTTCCTTTTAAAATAAAGGAAGTTTGACTGTTAGAGCATCTCCAATAGACTCTTTATTATCACTCAACTCTCTATTTTAGAGAGTTAAACACTAAAAATTAAGTTTCAATAGGCTCTTTATTTGAACTAGTTAAAATAGAGAGTCTAATTTAACTCTATATTTGGAGAACTCCACTTGGTCTTTATTATTATTTTGATGAATGACAAGATGACATATGTACAATATTCATTAAATATAATTATCTATAAAACTATTTTTCTAGCAAAATAGAGAATTTATTGGAGTTGTCTAACATATTTCACTCACTGTTTTAAAATTCTATCCAAAATACTTTTTATTTCCAAAAAAAAATACCGTCTAAAATAGTGAGGATTAGTGGAGATACTCTTAATTATTTATGGTGGGCCGGTCTTTGACTTGTGTCTCACCGACGTGGTTATAGACAAGTGTTTTGTTGACATCTTTTACCAAAACATGTGGATAAGAACATGCCTCGGTGTTTTCGTCCGTCAAAGGGCCACCATGGTCTTTTTGTGAGCTCTATTGCTGATTTTTGACATATAACTTGGTTGTCGACGGTGGGCTGGACATCTTATCCGAGTAAAAATTTTAGTATTTTATTTTATTATTTAATATTTTATTAAAGAATTTTTTTTTACCTTATACTACCAGATCACGTGTATTATTCTTATTTGAATTCCGTTCAAAACAATCTGATAGAAAATTGGGTAGATAATCAAGTGAACGTATATTTTTTAGTTATTAATTTTTGGATCTTTTTAATAATTTAATTAATTAATCTACACCAATTAACTAATATAATAAATCAATAACACAATAAATTCTATAATACATATAATACATAAACGATTACAATAGAACACAACAAAAAAGTCGTAAACATCAGTATATCGTATATCAGAAGTCCATAAACATTAATAAAACATTAGACTTTCTAGTTTCTTGGATTTTAATTTTTTGGATTACGAAAATTTTATAGGTATTCCACATTTCTACCCAATTTTTTATGAATTACCAAAAAATCTTTGGTTGGATTACCCTATTCTTTCAGGTAGTTGATTAATTTAGTCGAATAAGGCAAAGTAGGGTCAAAATTTACGAGTAATCAAAAATTTGAACACCAAAAGTCGGATAGATCATAATAATTCCCAACCCCACATACTGTCTGTCAAGAAGGTAGCAAATTGTAGGACAAATACAGTTCCACCCAATTTTTCTGTACTTCAGGAAAAGCTTAGTCAATTTTATGCCATAAATAGGCCCAGAAAGTGGCATGAGACTACATAGTAAGGAGTTATTGTTCCATCCATGTTTGGTGTGAATTTCTGATCTTATATTAAAATCAAACCAACTTTCTTTATTGGGTTAATCTCATTTTGTACCCTGAAAGATTGTTCGAATCTCAATTTGCACCCTCAAAGATCAAAAATCTCAATTTACACCTTCAAAGATAGTAATTTGTATCAATGTGCACCCCCAAAGATAAAAAATCTCAATTTGTACCCTCAAATATAGAAATTTGTATCAATGTGTATCCCCAAAGATAANCGTACCTTTGTTATATTAAAATATTATAATATGACCTTTTAATTAATTTTCATTGTTCATCCCGTTAACGTCAATAGAGTTAGTTTTGACCGAAGAAGCAATAAAAGGTAACGAAAAAATCACATTATAACATTTTTAATAAAATGAGAGTANTAATTTGTATCAATGTGCACCCCCAAAGATAAAAAATCTCAATTTGTACCCTCAAATATAGAAATTTGTATCAATGTGTATCCCCAAAGATAAAAAATCTCAATTTGCACCTTCAAAGATATAAATTTGTATCAATGTGCACCTAAAATTAAATTAATAAATTATACCTTGATCCCCTCATGTTTGTCACTTAATCATTTGAACTCCTTCACATTTAGAATATTCCTCTTACATCTCATGACGTTTATGAATGTGTAAACCATAACCACTTTTCGTTGATATATATTAATATAATAGTTAAAAAATATGATTTTATCCTAATATAAAATTATAATTTTATATTACATTTTATTNCTCCAATAGACTCTTTATTATCACTCAACTCTCTATTTTAGAGAGTTAAACACTAAAAATTAAGTTTCAATAGGCTCTTTATTTGAACTAGTTAAAATAGAGAGTCTAATTTAACTCTATATTTGGAGAACTCCACTTGGTCTTTATTATTATTTTGATGAATGACAAGATGACATATGTACAATATTCATTAAATATAATTATCTATATAACTATTTTTCTAGCAAAATAGAGAATTTATTGGAGTTGTCTAACATATTTCACTCACTGTTTTAAAATTCTATCCAAAATACTTTTTATTTCCAAAAAAAATACCGTCTAAAATAGTGAGGATTAGTGGAGATACTCTTAATTATTTATGGTGGGCCGGTCTTTGACTTATGTCTCACCGACGTGGTTATAGACAAGTGTTTTGTTGACATCTTTTACCAAAACATGTGGATAAGAACATGCCTCGGTGTTTTAGTCCGTCAAAGGGCCACCATGGTCTTTTTGTGAGCTCTATTGCTGATTTTTGACATATAACTTGGTTGTCGACGGTGAGGTGGACATCTTATCCGAGTAAAAATTTTAGTATTTTATTTTATTATTTAATATTTTATGAAAGAATATTTTTTTACCTTATCCTACCAGATCACGTGTATTATTCTTATTTGAATTCCGTTCAAAACAATCTGATAAAAAATTGGGTAGATAATCAAGTGAACGCATATTTTTTAGTTATTAATTTTTAGATCTTTTTAATAATTTAATTAATTAACCTACACCAATTAACTAATATAATAAATCAATAACACAATAAATTCTATAATACATATAATACATAAATAATTACAATAAAATACAACAAAAAAGTCGTAAACATCAGTATATTGTATATCAGAAGTACATAAACATTAATAAAACATTAGACTTTCTAGTTTCTTGGATTTTAATTTTTTGGATTAAAAAAATTTTATAGGTATTCCACATTTCTACCCAATTTTTTATGAATTACCAAAAAATCTTTGGTTGGATTACCCTATTCTTTCAGGTAGTTGATTAATTTAGTCGAATAAGGCAAAGTAGGGTCAAAATTTACGAGTAATCAAAAGTTTNAGGCACAAATGTCATAAGATGTAGGAGTAATATTCTAAATGTGAAGAGGTCTAAATGATTAAGTGANGTTTGAACACCAAAAGTCGGATAGATCATAATAAATGTAGGAATAAGTGAGTGAGTGAATGTAGCCATTCCGAACCCCACATACTGTCTGTCAAGAAGGTAGCAAATTGTAGGACAAATATAGTTCCACCCAGTTTTTCTGTACTTCAGGAAAAGCTTAGTCAATTTTATGCCATAAATAGGCCCAGAAAGTGGCATGAGACTACATGGTAAGGAGTTATTGTTCCATCCATGTTTGGTGTGAATTTCTGATCTTATATTAAAATCAAACCAACTTTCTTTATTTTGGCGCATTTAATCCGAGATCAGCTAGCTCCTTGTACGTAGNTTGTAAATTGAAATTCGAACAATCTTTCGGGATGCAAAATGAGATCCAACTTTCTTTATTTTGGCGCATTTAATCCGAGATCAGCTAGCTCCTTGTACGTAGAAAGTGGGCATTGGACCGGTCCGACTTGACTCACCAGACAACTGCCCAAATCTTCCAGTGGACTAATGTATGGGCCATTGACGGTCCATTTACTGGGCCGAATCCACCCGAAGAAAGGGCAACCCATGGTGGTCCATGGCCTTTTAGCGGGTTATTATTTATGGGACGAGTCCTGATAACCTTTAAACCAGATGTAATTGGATTTCATATTTTATTACTCGCATTAGAATAGTGAAATTTTAAAGACTATTAGGATTTGATTAATATTGGATAAGTTTATATTACGGAAATTTTTTATTTTTTTTCCTGTCCTACCACCAGATACAATTTTTTAGAAGCGAGTTATTATCTTTTTTGGTGGTATATATGATCAATCCAAATTATAAATTTAGAATCAACCCTAAATATTGCGATTATTCTAAAATTTTAATAACAATACCTAACTCCTTAAAGTTGGTAATTGATTTTCAAAATGGTATACTTGGCAAAAAAAATATCTTTTTGAGGATCAATCATATGGTAGGATTGATTCTAATGTTTATTTTTGCAATCTAATCCCACAAAATTATATAGGCTACATGCTTTCTTTTTGCAGGAGCTCACACCATAGGATCAGCCCATTGCAGTTCATTTAGCGACCGGTTCCAACTCAACTCTAAAGGAAAGCTCACTCGCGTGGATGCATCCCTGGGCAAAGATTATGCGGCCAAACTGGCTAAACAGTGTCCTGCAGGAGCAAGCTTGTCTGTAACTGTTAACAACGATCCCGAAACACCTGCCCTTTTTGATAACCAATATTACAAGGATCTCCTACTCCACAAGGGCCTCTTCCAATCTGATTCCGTTCTAGTTAGTGATCAAAGAACAACGAACAAAGTTGTGGAATTAGCAAATGACCAGCAAAGTTTTTTTGAGAGTTGGGGCGAGTCGTTCATGAAGCTTGTGAGCATTGGAGTGAAAACGGGTGATGAAGGAGAGGTTCGACAATCTTGTTCTGTGACTAATGGATGAAGCATTGGGGAGTAGTGGAAAATCATTCGAATAGTTTGAGAAATAAGCAAGGAGAGTGCTTCAAAAGTACTAATCAAATAAGGCCTTAGAAGAATTCTGTTGGCACATAAATATTTTGTATGTTGATAGTTTATGCAAGTTATTCATTTCTAGTTGTAACTAATTTTGTTTTTCTTGTCCATGTCATTGTTGATTTCTTTTCACCCTTCCCTGTGATTCTGTGAGGTCATAGTAATTAATTGCTGTAAAAGCTCATTTTCCGCCTAAATATGATGAATGCTGGACGGTTAATGCATTGCCATCAAAGTATTGTTCCATGCTCACATTACAGGTTGTGGGTCATTCTAGCATATTAGCTTACAATTTATACTATTTAATAATTTCACAAGTAACTTTCACAAGAAAAAAAAAATCGGAAGTAACTTTTCGATATGTTCGTAGAGTTGTCCACTTCTTTACCTCTATATATGTTTTAATCTACATGTTAGAATAATTTAATATTAAAAGAAAAGTTTTTAATAATTATTATGTATACCCCACCACATAATGTTTTCATTATTTATATTTCATAGGATTTTTTAAAAACGGTTACATGTGTGTGTGTGTATATGTATGTGTGTGTGTGTGTGTCATCATCTAGTATTATTAATATTTTTAATGTGTATTGAAGTTGGGAGTAATTGCTCCAAACTAGTCGTTTAAGATTAGACTATATAAGACTATCACTACAACTCATTTTGGAGGATTTTTGATGAAAGAGAGACTATTTTCTATATTTCTCCATACAAAATATTCATCTATTTGTTGTATGATTTATGTGTTTTTCTGGGCAACTTGAGTTATGATCGTTCGTAATAGAGAGTTTTATGTCTGCCCCGTAGCTTCTCTAGGATTGTTGAATTTTGGAAAAGGAACACCAGAATACTCTGTACGGAGGGGACATATCTCTTCTTAGGACAATGCTTTTGGCGTGCCTCAATCCAGGCTATTCTAAACTTATCTTGATATAAAATTCTATTATATTCATTGTTATTTATTTGATTGTTTATATGATATTAAAATCTTCTTGAGAAATATAAGTCAAAATAACTCTCTATCAGCATTATATATCAAATTATTTCCAACAATCTAAGAAAGGGTAACGAATTGTTGGTTTAGAGTAGTACATAAAATTTTGCTTCTTCATTTATTTGGATCTTACATATCTTTTTTATTTGGAATATGAGTACTGTAATATGCAATACTAGCTAGCACGGTAAAGATAGGTTGACATGGCGAATACAGATAAATTCCCGTCAACGATCCATTTCCTATAAAACTTCTAATTGATTTTATTATTTATTTTCATTTAATTTGAAGTTTCTAATTAATAGGTTTTAATAGGATAATGAATAATGATTTTAATGGCATTTTACACCTAATTTCAGTGGCTAGTCACTAGCTGTTGGTGCAATAAAGCCTCCAATTCTTGAGCTTTTTCAAATCATGTAATTCAGGAATTCCTATAGGCTATATAAGCAGATGAGTGACAGTGGACATAGAGAGAACAACCGGCCATGGCTTTTTCTTTTTCATGTTGCTTTAAGTCTTTTATCTCTCTTATAGTTCAGTAGGTCAAACCTCTAAGCCTTTTATTTAATACATATTTTCTAATCACCAAAATGGAAATTCTTCTTACCTATCTTAAATGGATTTATCTCACTGATGAACTGAGAGAATGCCACTGGATAAGAGCCACTAGCTTTGATTTCAAGATATAATGCATGGTCTCAAGGCCAAACAAAAAAAATATATATATATTTAAAATAAAAAAAAAACTTCTGTTATTCTTTTATAACTTATGAGCTATTGCACATATGAATGTCATTAATGCTATGGTATTTATTAAAAATAATAATAATAAGGATAACCTAAGTGTGCTATCATTCTAATAATCCCTTATCATTTGTGACTACTAATATCACTAATCTAAGTTCTTTCATAGAGATCTACTATACATGTGATATGCTCTTACTTGAGATTTTATCTATAAGTTTGTGATTGACTTTAAGTACCACTGTAATTGTATACCATACCCCTACAACCCATAGTTATTTTATACTATGATATGAATAATGCAAAAGTAGCTACTATTTGGTTTTGACTGTTCAGATGCATAAGCTATATAAGTGATTTTTACAATTTAGAACTATGGGCTATACAAATTGAGATGAAATTGAATTTTGTTTCTTGAATTTTTATTTGTGCTGATGCAATATTGCATAAGGAAAAACAATTATGCATTTGCAGATTTGAGAATTTTTCAATGTGGGGACACATTGTTGGGAAATTTATTGTTATTTAGTTGATCTTCTATATGTTTGCATTTGAAAATTTTGAAAAAACATGATAAATGTGGGGGTTGATATTGAAAGGATTCCAAATGTGGAGGTAAATGAAGTGCAGTAAAATTCAATGTCGGGAAAAAAAATTTGTATGTGGGGTGCAACATAAAATGTTCTAAGTGATACTCGATGAAATTTCAGAGTAGCTCCTAGTAGATTGAAGACTACTGGCCAAACTAAAAAATGGTTCCTAGTAGATAGAAGACTACTGGTCACAATTATGAAATAGTTCCTAGTAGTTTGAGAATTACTGATCATAGTTGAAAATGGTTCCTAGTAAGTGAGACACTACTGGCCACAATTTAAAAATAGTTCATAGTAGCAGTCTATTGGTCACTTTTGTGATTCCTAATAGTAAGACTATTGACTATAATTATTGAGACTCGTATATGTTGAATTTGTTAAAAGAAATATTAGACCCTCTTGTCCCAACTATTAATTTGTTGTCTCGATTCAAATAAAAAGACTGTTTTATATGAGGGGTCTATGAATTATATGGTTTCGTGAGATTGGAAAGAAATATATATTGTTGGATAGCTGAGCCGAGAGGTCTTATGAGATTGGGAACTACAAGGGTAGACCATCTTGTTAAAAGGCTAGCAAAAGCTAGTTTAAGATTCACAAGGGAAATGAGACTAAAGCCTATAAGTTAGTTATCACAATTGATACCTAACCTTTGTGATTGGAGATCTCATGAAGGAGGTTCAATAGGTAAGAATGAAGTTGTAGAATGACTATGGTGATCATTGAAATTATAATAAGGAAATTCTCTGATCCTATTTCTAAGGTGACAGTGCTTAAAACTGTGATGATAATAAAAGGAAGAGTAAATCTTTGAATGAGGCCAAGACATGATTCTACAAGGTATTGATCATAGAATACTCTTGGAGGACTCACCTATATGTATGCTTGTGGTGAGGCCACTACTACGGGATATAGACTAATCCTTATTAGAACATACATGAAAATCAAGATACATGCTCATGGTCATAAGAGCGCAAAACTGATTAGAACTTGATCTAATACCTGTGCCATGTGTTTGACAAGTAGAAAACTGAACCAACAAATCTAGTTCCAGACTTGTTCACTATGATTCTTTTAGATGGAAGCTTGTTAGATTAAGCAGTGTTATCAGAATTAGACTGGGCCGCCATGTCTGACCAGTTCTCAACAGTGAATTGGGACCTTAACCGGTCTGGTTAACTAGTTAAACCGAATAAGGAAGGGAACCGGATAAAAACTGCCTAATCGGCCGATTTTTGGAGAAAACTGTGAATCAGACGATTTTTTAAAACTGGACGGTTTGAAGTCAATAAAACTAAAAGAAAATTTTGAATGGTTCAATTTTTATTTGGGCCATTTTTTTTATTTTGCCCTGAATCTCGTAGAAGGCAGCAACTGTTGGACCAAAATAATTTTTTAAGTGTAAAAAATTGAGTTTTTGGTCGACTTTGAGTCTATATTAAAGTGGGACTCAATTGTTATTTTGAATAACATTTCGTGGATTTATATTTTACTCCATGAGGAGAATAATATAATATATTCACTTGTTTAAATCGAGTACGAAATGAATGAGAAAATAGGCTCCAAAGTGACCATCTTGAAATGTGAAAATAAAAGAAGTGCAATGTGGGATGTGACACCAATCCCACATTGGTTGAGGAAGAAATTTAACATGGGTATATATAGGCCAAGTTTGCTCTATGGGATTGGGCTCCAATGGGTACCACAGTTTTATGAGCGGAGTGAGCACCTACATGCCTTCGGTTCAACCACACATGTGGGCCGCCCCGCCCGCCTCACCTCGCCTCTCCACGACCACGACCCGACCCGGTCGGGCTCAGGTGTGAGTTAGATCAAACCCTATCTTTTTGAAAAAAATTTATTTAATTAATTAGGCGAGAATTTCTTAACCCGAATTTAATTTCAATACCCGTTGGATCGCATTGGGTCGGGTTTGTTGCCTCCTTCTAGACCGAATTAAATTATGACTGTTCATGGAGAACAGTTACTCATGGTGTCTACTGGCTGTTGTGTCTTGTCATTCTAGGTTGTGTCCTTTAGTAAAATAACTGTCTGAAAAGTCACCAATGTGTCTATAAATACCCAAGNACTTGTTAGATTAAGCAGTGTTATCAAAATTAGACTGGGCCGCCATGTCTGACCAGTTCTCAATAGTGAATTGGGACCTTAACCGGTCTGGTTAACTAGTTAAACCGAATAAGGAAGGGAACCGGATAAAAACTGCCTAATCGGCCGATTTTTGGAGAAAACTGTGAATCAGACGATTTTTTAAAACTGGACGGTTTGAAGTCAATAAAACTAAAAGAAAATTTTGAATGGTTCAATTTTTATTTGGGCCATTTTTTTTATTTTGCCCTGAATCTCGTAGAAGGCAGCAACTGTTGGACCAAAATAATTTTTTAAGTGTAAAAAATTGAGTTTTTGGTCGACTTTGAGTCTATATTAAAGTGGGACTCAATTGTTATTTTGAATAACATTTCGTGGATTTATATTTTACTCCATGAGGAGAATAATATAATATATTCACTTGTTTAAATCGAGTACGAAATGAATGAGAAAATAGGCTCCAAAGTGACCATCTTGAAATGTGAAAATAAAAGAAGTGCAATGTGGGATGTGACACCAATCCCACATTGGTTGAGGAAGAAATTCAACATGGGTATATATAGGCCAANCCAAACTAAAAAATGGTTCCTA